TTCAAACTGTCTGTTTCAATTAATTGATTCAAATTATTCAATGATTTGTTTGCTCTTGTGTTTACAAAATATCATATATTCATAAACTGATGCAAAATTGTGATGATATTACTTGGCCATTAAGTTTTGAACTTCAGTACCAGAAAAATGCAAGTTTGATTCATTTCCACGAATCAGTTCAAACAGTTTCAATTAATCGATTCAAATGATTCAATGATTTTTCATATGATAATATTTCAGTTCATGTTTTGTTATAACGGTTTACTGTATTTTACATCTTGCATTAAACATTTTTAATCTAATTGGTTGAAATTACTAAAATAAATCAGCCTTTAAATTCAAATATATAAATATTAATATACACTAAACATGGTCAAAAGACTGAAAAATTAAATAATAAAATTTAATATATTTTTTAAAATTAAAATATCAATTTTAATATATTATGATTATATCGCCCAGCCCTAAAAATCTGAAATATTAAATTCCTATATAAATATGGTCCAGAGTGCTGGTAGAAGTTAAATAACATTGACAACAGCATTTCAACAAAGCAATGCTGAGAAAGTTCACACTTCTCCCGCGGGCAGGAAAAAGCTTTCATTGACCACTAATCGTTTTTTACATGAAGAAATAAATGTTTTATCATCACGTATGTGGAGTTCTCAGTCCGTGTGCTCGAGTGGACTGACTGGTTTGGCTGTGATCGAGCTCTGAGAGAGTCACTGATCGTGTTTCAGTCGGAATCGATCCGTTTGTCCTGCAGGTGGCGCTGCTTCTGTTTCTCTCAGACTCGGGGCTCCAGTCTGTGCGAGAGCTCGAACAGCGTCTGCTGATTGTCGATGATGTGAAGGTAATGGACGCTCGAGCGCACCTCAGGACTGTCACACGGAGAAAGCTCGTTTCCTGAGAAGAGAAGAAATGAATGCAGTTAATAGATTTATTCCCCGCAGATCTAACGCGCTGCTACCGTCACACAGAGCTGACTGAGAGATTCACTACAGCCGAGTTAACACCAATACACTAATACAGACATCTTGAGCGGAACAGCACTGGTTGCTCAGCCAAGCATCATTTTAATCATTTAGAGCTAATAATTTTTTATTTGTATTATTTTTTATTATATATTTATAAATATTAACTTATTTAAAAATTTAATTATATATTTTATTTATGGCTGATAACTAATAATACAAAACACTAACATAGGACAAACTATTATAACTCATATAGTGTATATATTTATTAACATATATAATCATAAATTACATATATATACATATATAATCATATATATAATAGTGATATCTTTTTTAATTACTTTTTGTTATTTTATAATAATAATAATAATAATAATATTATTGTGATCTGGTGATTTTTTTAATGAAACCAAACAGCAAATGTTTAATAGAGATTTTTCATAATTACTAAAAATTACACAAAGAGACTGGGGCAACACTGATTGTGCACCCAGAAGTCTCTGCATAAAAATACCATTTCTGCTCAGAATCAACCAAAATGAATTTTGCTTTTGGTCAAATGAATCATGAATCCTGACAGAAGTAAAATGAATGTGTGCTTGGAGCCGCAGCAGCAGCAGGAGGAGCGTCTGACCTGTCTGATCCGTCTGGCAGTGGCGAATGAGTCGCACCGTATCAGCGATCATGTGCTGAGAACAGAGACACACATACATCAGAGACCCGTCTGACGAGTGATGAGTGACAGCTGTCAATCACTGACACACAAAACACTCACCAGCTTCTCGAAGTTCACCAGATTATCATGAAATGTTTTGTTCCCCTCGTGGATGAACGTGATATCTGAAAACCAGCAGAGAACACAACACTCAAACACCCAGAAACTGATCACTGGCCATGCAATTAGAGCATTTGTGACATCTTTTCCTTTAGGTCAGGTCACAGGAAGTGTCTATTTACCTTTACGCAGTATACAATATAAAATAGTTTATTTTTACAATTTAATAATTGAATATCATATAGAATATATATATATATATATAAATATGTTAATATTATTTCATTAAAAATAATCTATATCTGTCATATAAAGCACTATTACTATATTTAATAATAAAATATAAACAAAAATAGTCAAATTAAATTTCATATTTTTAATATATCAATATTATTTTATTAAACCTAAGAATAATCCATATCTGTCATAAAAGCAGTATTATTATATTTTAACAATGATATATAAATTAAAACAAATTAAAATACAATATTTTATATTTTTAAATATATCGATATTATTTTATTCAACCTAAGAATAATCCATAACTGTCATGAAAGCAGGATTATTATATTTGAACAATAAAACAAACTAAAAATTTACTTCTACTATATCAATATTATGTTGCATAAGAATAAGAATAGTTACATAACATAAGAATAATCAGTATCTGTCATAAAAAGCAGTATTATTACATTTTAATAATAAAATATAAACTAAATCGAATATTTTTAGTATATCAATATTAATGTAATAAACAGAAGAATAATCAGCATGTGTTATATTTTAATAATAAAACAACAAGATTTTCTTGTATTTGATGTACTGAGGTGAGTTAACCTTTGAGCAGCAGAGGCATGAAGGGGATTTTGGGCGGCTTGGTCTTCTTGAAAGCGTCTCTGTAGGCTTTGTGATTCATGGATGGATCCTGAGGAAGACAATCAGGTGAGTCTCATTATGTTTCTGACTGATGAGCATTTAATAAAATCAGCCTGAAATCAAAGTCAACCCCATTTGTATATGAATGCTGTTCAATGTTCTTTATAAACTGGGTTTGACTTACTGTCAACAGCTCCAGCTCAGAGAAAAGCTTCTTGAACTTTCCAGGAACTTTCTGCAGGAACGAGAGACAGAAACTGAGTGTCTGCTTGTTTAGTCTGGCTGCCTCATGTCTGCTTAGAGTCAGTAAAGAGCTCTTACCTCCCAGGTCTGGTTGAGGCGGCTGACGGCGGCTGTGTTTAAGCCCATGATGATGGCAAACGAGGAGTTGAGGTTCCTCTGCGCTTTACAGCTGAAACACACACAGGTTTATGAGGACTCTCCATAGGTGTAATGGTTTTTATACTGT